TTCATAAAACATTTCCATCTATAAGAATATTCTAGATTGAGCATAATCTGAAGACATCGTTTGAGCGGCTTCCGTATGGCGTAGGTCGTGGCTTACGTGGAATGGCTCATATATTTTTTTGAACCTTTACACAGAAGAAAATAACTTTTTTTTTCTAAAAATTTCTAGAAGTTTAAATAATAGCAATATTTTGTGAAACACGATCTGAAAGGAGTGTTGAAGTGTTTAGGATAGAAATTTTGCCCCCCCCCCCCCCCCAGACCGTGATAGAGAAAATGTAGTTATAAAACATCAGATATACGGTCAGCTACAAACGTGTCCTAAGGAAATGGAACAACAGGATTTCCATTTTATTAGTAACAATAGGTTCATCGTGTTTCACATTTTTGATTCCGCAAGCGATTGCGCTAACAGCTTTATTTTATGAAGTGCTGTGCTCTTCACACTCATTCGTATTTTTAAATACGCTTTCGTCATAAGTATGAATGCTTTACGATTTGGAAAAAATCAATGAATAGATACAAAATTTTAATGAATTCTACTGGGCTGAAATATATTTCAGAGCTTACTACAGTTCATAAATATCTAAGAAATTCACCAGATTGGATCAGATTATGAAAGAATGCTCATTGATATACAGCAGTTTTGTGAAACTAAAAATTCATGACTTCTTAGTACTTAAAGATATAGTACTGAAATGTTCTAAAACAAAAAATGTTTTCTGTAGTCTGGCGAAGTCCAGTAAATTCAAATGGATCTCGATGGATTTCAATGAATTCATTATCGTATCGGTTGCGATTCCGTAAATATCTATACGTTCGATTTGCGATTTTTCATTTTGAAGAAAGAAATAGGATTTATGTGATCAGTATGAAAATGAAAAGTCAAATTAGTCAACCTAAAACAAAAACAAAAAGCGTGAAAGGAACATGATAGAATAAGAAAATTATGAAAGTCGATTCAAAGTTTGAAAAAATATGTATACGAGACGAAAGCACAAAACAAATATAATAATAATTCATGTGAAGAAACCTGTGTTCTCCTGTTAATTCTTCAGCATGCAACAGATTCAGTAGTCAAAATTCTTAAAGATGAACATATGCAAGAACCGTCGTCACGAGTCTCTTCAAATGAAACATTAAAAACCATATCAGATATTTTTGATATTATATCTTTACCTTGAAGTTCAAATTAGAATCTTACTTTATAGTTCTGTTTTGAGGTTAAGTAGTTATTTCGTCTATTTTTCCTACATCAATAATGCTCCTCTATCTTTTCCGATTGTATTCAAATTTAAAAAAATATATATTTTCAAATCGAAATGAAAATATTTAGTACATTTAGTTATTTAAAAAATTGAAATATTCAAAAGACAGAAATATGATTTTCATTTTTAAACCTTAGACGAAAAATCAACATAAACTTCTTATATATCTAATAGAAATGATTATTTATATGAGCTATGCTACAGATTAAATAATTCTTAAAGTCCAATCCTACATAATATATGATAGTAATAGAAATAAAGAACATCACTTCATGACGATACACAATGGCAGCAATAAATAATTAGCGAAATTGCTCGCGTTTCACTTAATCTCGAATTTCATCCAAATCAGTTTCTTTTAATTTTGAGATGCCACCAAAAGAAAATCTGCAGGATATGTCTAGATTGTTACTTGTATTAAAATTTTTCTTATTCTTCAGCATCTGAGAGAGTACATTCAGTAAGATTTGAGTTAAACTCATTAGAATTTATAATAGTATGTCTTCAATTTCGATTTTTTTTATTCATATGGGACTATCTTGAAACACTGATTGTTCTCACATACATTACATAGCAAAACATTTAAATCAATTTTAAAAAATATTCGTTTCGTAGCATAAATAAGTTTTTTAAGTTCACACACAAATGACGAACAACAAGTACAACGTCTTTCAGTTTCTTTCTTTTCCGTGTCTGAGAAATAAGATGAATATTTTAGATTTTCTAAAATTTCTATGTAGTTCGAAGAGTCATTATTATGTTAAAAATTATCAATAGTCATATCATCTTACAGAAAAGTTGTTTCTACTTCATGTTAATGTAAGTTTCACCTATTGAAGAACGAAATAGAAGTCTGAATGCATTTTTAGAATAACCGTTTTCTGTTAATATTGTCGATAATTACATTTTCTAATTAATACTAAACAAAATTTACCATTGCTTGTTATCGTCTGTTTTTGAAAAATGCCGCCAACATCCGATCATACATAAATGAATATCGCCGTGTGTAGTCCATTTGAAATGTATTTTTTTTACAAATAATTTCTTTTTCTTTTTTTTGCCACTATTCTTCGTCTACTCTCCATGTTGTATATTTTACTGCTATCATGCGCAGTGCAAAGCTGACAAGAATTCAAAAAAAACCGACGTAGAAAGAAGAAAGATAAGATATGTAAAGTGTTTTTATTGTGCACAACTAACAAAAGAGACCTACGACAAACAAACAAGCCGTCTCGCATACACAACACTCAACAAAGTTGGAAAATATCGTCAACGACATTTTTTTGGAAAATTTTGTTTTGATTATTGCATCCCGGTAAGTAACTTATTATAATGATTCTTACATAGATCTTCGAGTTTATTAAATATCATAAACATAACGGACGTATGACTGCAATATTAATTTTAAAAAATTGAGACAGAAATGAAATCGGGGCATGGGTGTAGAGTATGCGTGTAAGTATTCTTTCCTTTGAAACAGGCATCCACACGCAGCTCGTAAAGGGAAAGCCAAACACCTTTCTATTGCAAAACTTGCAAATGAGGATATATTCAAGCAGTGTCTTGTCATGCATCAACACAAATAGGTACAAGCAAAAGAAATTCAGCCGCTAATCAATAAGCGAAAGTGGATTTGAGAAATTCTTGCCCATTGAGAGTCCGTAAGAATTTACATTAATCCTATCCAATCCAAACTCAAAGCACGACAATGATTAGAAAATCTATCGAGCGTCGGCACGGTGAATATGCAGTGTGAATGGATGTGGATCACGGTGTGACTTCACAGAAATACTACACCCAATCATCTGCCATTACAAGCCCATAATCATATCTAATCACTCGATCTCCCACACTCACCTCCAGTCATTCACATTTACACACCCCACATTCACACCTAAATCCACATCCAATCAGCTTCCAACTCACATACACAAACACATTTAACATTCATACACTTTTCACATCCACGCCTAAACCAATATCCAATCAGCCACTAACCCCCACCGACATCCGATCGCTCATGCCCCCACACCAACATACATACCCACATCTAAATAGTCATTCCCCTTTTCATGCCCACACCCACACCCACACCCACACGTAACCCCACATTCAATCAACCAGCAACCCCGACCCTAACTCACATCCTATCGCCCATGACCCTACACCCACATAAACTCATACCAACACCCACCCTCACATATATAATCACACTTAAACAGTCATTCCACCCTTCATTCCCACACCACACACCCATATATATACCCACACGCACATCTATCTTTCAGTATTATGCCTATTAACTAATTTTAATAAGAAAAGATCCAATCACTTATACTGATAAAGTTCATTGAAAACAGCAGCTAGTAAGAGAAATAGAATACAAAAATAACGAAGTAAAATANAGATACTAAAACCCCGTTCTCCGTCAATAAAACTTTCACCAATTGTTTGACAAATAATTACTGTACAGTATGCATATAGCATGCACATGTAAGAACTATACCAAATGTTATGAAAATGTATCTTGACGCTTGTTTTCATGAATGCAGTTGATATAAATATTCTCTAATCGCTTGATGCCGATGCACTTTCACTAATAATATGAACTTCATCAATTCATTTTTCTATTAATATTGATGAGCATCTAGAATGTGGCTGGTCTGTTAAATTATCAATTTCATCAAAATTGCTTGAGAGACCTCTCAGATGACTCAAAGTTTGATTTTCAATAAAACTATTTTGGTTCTAATGTTTATGAGTATAAGCATTTGATGGGAAGTATATTGAATAAAATTTGAAGGTACAACATGTTATAGAAAATTTTGATGCAAATTGCTTGAACTATTGAAGAACTATTCACGCTTTTTATTTCGACGGCCTTTCGGGAACACTTCGTGCAGAGATGCGACGGTACATCGGTCTCACGTACAGCTTTTCACTGATCGAAACATTTGCGTATATGCTAACAGTACAAACATAATAGAACTATAGTGATGTTAGATTGATTTCGGTCGGGAAGGCCATTTCAAGAAAATAGACTAAAGATTTTCAGATTCCAGGAATTCGAATCTATGAGCAATTTGTCGAAATTTTCGCGTTTAATTTTGTCGTTTCAGGAACGCTTAGTTCTCACGGTCTAGTCATGTTTTGTAAAATTCAGATATTTTCTTAAAATAGACTTTCCTCGACTAGAGCTCGTCGGACTGGTCTCAGACTCAAACCCGACTAGGTTCAGGTTCACAAATTTTGGACCCGACGGGCTCTACTCTCAAATAAAAAAGGCCAAAATGAATCTAAGATAACTGTAGTTTTATCATAGGTTCAGTGTTTTCACCGTTATTCTATACATGGATGTCCAGACTAGTGATCAATGTCACCATTAAAATGTAAGCCGATATCTATCAAGTTTCGGAAAAAAAACATGTAGCCATCTCATCATACAATAGACTTTTTGTAATATTTATTAAATGATAGAAAAATTTTATTTTAAGAAAACAACGTCATCTATTTTCTTTTATCGAATGACTTGAAAAATAAATTCGATAAAATATACGTATCCAGTTTTCGATTGGATCTTACGAATTGGAAACATTATGTTTTTCTTTCTTTCTTCAACAATTATTTTTATTACCACGTGTACTAAATTTTTAGTATAAATCATCTAGTCAGCAAGTACAAAAACAATCGACGAAAAGAATAGCTAATTTTGATTGAACCAAGAGTAGAAAAAATGGATATAAAAAATAATAATCATGAATTAATTGTATGCATAAAATTATTAATCAGTGATTATTATATTTTTCTATTGAATAGAATGGTTCAAATGACCTTGATAAAATGGCACCAGAAGATATGACATCAAAAGAATATTATCTTGATTCAACTGCTCATTTTGCTGTGCATGAAGTTTGTAGAAAAAAATGAATTTTTTTTTCCTTCTTTATGTATTAATATTTTTAGGAATTATTAAAAGATGAAATTCGAACAAAAACATTTCGTAATGCTATTATAAATAATCGACATTTATTTAAAGATAAAATAGTATTAGATATTGGTTGTGGTGTTGGTATATTTAGTTTATTTGCTGCTAAAGCTGGTGCTAAAATGGTCATAGCGGTAAATTTGTGTTTTCTTTTAAGATTAAACAAAAAAAAATCTCAAATTGATTTTAATTAGGTTGAAAAATCGAATGTTATCGAATATGCAAAACGAATTATTCATGCAAATCGATATGACAAAGGTCAATAGGAAAATAGTTTCAAATTTTTAAATTTTCTTGTGTTTTCTTCTAGTAATTAGAATAATTAAAGGAAAAATTGAAGATATTGAATTACCTGAAGGTATTCAAAAAGTTGATATTATTATTGCTGAATGGATGGGTTATTGTTTATTTTATGATTCAATTATTCAAAGTGTTATCTATGCTCGAGATAAATTTCTTGTAAATATTTTCAAGTTTTATTCGAACAATTTTTTATAGATAAATTTATAGAAGTCTAGACAAAAGAAAAAGACATAACCTTTTATCTATGTTCATAATTTAATAATTATCATGGAAAATTTTTTGAAGAGCGTCATCTGAATAAACAAAACAACATTTTTGATTGTGAAACAGAGATATCCATGGCAGCAATGCCGCGTCGATACCAGCGGCTGATTTTCAGCCACGGTAGACGCCCCTTTTGTGAAGAATGAATAATTCAAGGATTAAAAATTAAAACTTCAATAAGTGCTATAAGAAACATGTTCTAAAATTCTAATTCATGTAAAATGTTCTTGGTGATATTTTAGTATTTTTTATATTATTTGAAAAAGATAAAATCAAAACATTTGAGAAAACAGTCAAATAGACGCTGAAGACATACATACGATGTTAAGTCTTTTTTTACTCTTATCTGGAAGAACTTATTTTAAAATGTATTTGCAGTATTCTCAAGTTCTCTTTATTCGATTTGTGTGGGTGTGAGATATAATAAATTAACTCTTATGAAATTGTGTTGAACCAGAAGAATAATAAAGTTTTTGCCAAAAAAAAGTCTAATTTCGTTGACAGAAGATTATTAAAATATCTTTCTAAAGAAATACACTTAAGTTAATCAAAACTAGGATGCTACTCGATACATCAAAATATTCCGCATCTATTACTATCAGTTAGAAGCTTTCAAAGTCTAACTGAATAAAAATTAAAATTCTGAAAAACATCGGATTTCCCTGTTGGGAGCAGTGTTGTTTTCCTTTGGCATCAAATAATCTAACGGTACAATGCATGGATATAGGCTTTTTGTGAAACACAATCTAAAAGGACTTTTGAAGTACATGAGTAGAAATTTGGAATAGAGTCGTAACGAGTAACAATAAGCGGTCGGCATACACTTTCCAAATTTTTCTATGTTTTTCTTTTGCAAATCAAGCCATCGTATTATTCCCCGAGACATTAGAGATAACACAAATGTATTGTGAAAAGCAGAATATGTGTACAGTTGATTCATAATTTCTATGTCTGGCAAGCATTTAATTAGTGTATAAACCTAATATGAAAATTTCCGCTCGTTGATAGATGGTAAGAGTAAGAAAGCTTATCGAAATAGATATTGACGACAAAGCTTTCAGCACAATCCCTACAAGATTAATATTTTAATCACGACGGAACTACATTAACCGTTGTGAGAAAACTTCATCATCTAAATGAGAGGACATGGCGGAAAATCCACTAGGCAATTATAAAACTAAAGACATCTCCGCCATAGTCTGTTAGTAGATTAAAAAACATCAATATGTTTGTCATAGCTTTTGGGACAAGCTGGAGGAAATTGGCTCAATTTTCTCGTCATATACTACAATACTCATTACCAATCACGTTTCATAAAAGCACTATTATAGTGAAACAGGAGCCTTATGTTGTTTCTGTAGTGATTCAAAGATAGATATGACTAATCGAGAGATTGATTTCACTACTATAAGATGAGAAAAGTGAAAAATAACTGGTACCGATACCCGTAAAGGGAATAACCCTACCGATTGCACATTCTGCTTTGGATTCCTCACAAACTATATATCAATAGTGTCTTGTAATAACATATGAACTACATCTTTATGGCATTTCTAAAAGATAAAGTAAAACGATGGTGCAGAAATATGTTTAGAATAATACAATATCTCTGTGATTACCAACAGTAGCTATATCATATTTCACATCCTGATCCCGCAAGGATTGGGCTAATAACTTTTTTTTACAGGGAATATATCCAAACGAAAAATTTTGGTGAAATTCCACTTGATAAAATTAAATCTACATCATTCATTCTTTAGTCAATTAATATGACATCATTTTCTTTTTCGTAGAAATCTGATGGTCTTATCTTTCCTGATCGTGCAACAATGCATATGGTCGGTATTGAAGATCGGGATTATAAAGAAGATAAAGTTGAATGTAAATATAATTAATTTTCTAAACTAACAAAAATCTTAAATCTATTTAAAGGGTGGTCAAATGTGTATGGTTATAATATGGGTTGTTTAAAAAATTATGTTATGCGTGAACCATTAGTTGATACTGTTGATAAACGTCAAATATGTACGGATCATTTTCCACTTAAAGTAATAATATTTAATATTGATTTTTTAATAAAAAAAAAAAAAAGAGTAAACTATCTCTTGGTATTGTATATATATTAGACATTCGATTTAAAAACTATGACTATTAATGATATAAATATTGATACTAAATTTCGACTTAGTGCTCTACGTGATGATTATATACATGCATTTGTAACATATTTTGTTGTTGAATTTACAGCATGTCCACAACAAATAGCAATTAATACTGGTATGATAATTCATTTTTGAATAAAAACAAAAGAAATTCTTTTATTTTTTATTTAGCACCTGGTGCTGGTTATACACATTGGAAACAAACTGTTTTCTATTTTCCTGATTATGCAACAATAAAACAGGATGAAATTTTAGAAGGAAAATTTTCATGTAAAGTTAATCTTCAAAATACAGTATGTATAAATCGATAAATTAAATTTGAAATAAAATTAGTTTTTTATTTATAAGAAAAAACTTGATTTTGCGATTGATTTTCAATTTAATGGAGAACTATCAACTTTACATAGTCAAAATCAATATTTTATGAAAGGTTAAGTTATTTATTGATGCAAATGAAAATGCTTTGTTTTGTTGTTATTTGGTTGTTTGTTTTTTTTACTTTGAATAAAGTGAAGAATCCGTAGAAGACGTAGAAGAAGAAGAAGAAGAAGATAATAAAGCTTTTCTTGTTCGTTCATGATCATCTTCACATAAGATTTGATTATTATATAAAAAATATCGATCACCAACACAAAATCTAGAGAATAAAACAAAAAAACCAAGAAAAATTTATATATATAAATACTCAAAATTTTATTTTAATAACAAACTTTTGTTGACATTCATAGCATGAAAAACAATTTAAATGATAAACAAGTTCTCCACAACGCATTACTAAATCAAATGCCGGAACTAAAATAATAATTTAAAAAAAAAAAAAAAAAAAAAAATGTTTTTTATTTTTTACTGAGTCTTTGACAACTAGCACAATGACCAGTCATACCAAATAGACGTAAATAATCACGTTTACAAAGTATTAAATTAGCTTTTAAATATAATGTTGAACCGGTTTCACCTAGACGACAATCGCAACAAGCACATTTTAAACAATCTTCATGCCACATTTTATCCAAGGCTAGATAAAAAGAAGAAAAACAAAAAATATATATATATATAATCATAGAAATTGATTATTATTAAAATCATTTCATACCTTGAAGCATATATCTATCATTAATTATTTGATTACAATTAGCACAAATATAACTTTTATTTGTTGAAATCATATTTGTATTTGTCATTGTTTAATATCTTTAATATACAAAGTAACACGATAATTCTCGATTTGTTCGAGAAGAAGATGAAAAAGAAAATTTGATTAAAAAGACAGACAAAGAACAAAAAAGAAAAAAAAAAGAATGATGATGATGATGACATTTGGGCTTCTATTTTTAATTAAAATAAGTGTATATAAGTGTGAGAATTCCATCACGGTCAATTAGTCGACAAGAAGAAGAATGAGCCATCTGTCGTGCACGCTATAGATTATCATGAACATCTCACTTTTTTCTATTCGAGCAACAGCAGTAGAAAACAAAAAAAAAAGAAAGAAAAAGGTAATGCAAATGGAAATTACATTTGTCATCTTTTATTTTACATCTCTAATATTATATGCGGTCAATATGTCCTATGGATCATTGTGTCGACCATATTGTCATTTCATCCAATTTCTTGTCTCAATTCTCTCATGAGGCATATTCCTCTTTTCTTTCTCTAGAATAACTAATTACAAAGAATAGCACAATGATTGGTAAACTATGATAACTGTAGTCGATGTGCATGTTATGCCGGAGAGAAATTGGAAAGCGCCAATAAACGACAGTAGCAACAGCAGTTATAATGGATAGCAAAAGAGATAATTCATTCCCGCAAACCAATTAACTATTAGATTGAAGAACTAGCTATATGATTATTCATTGTCTTTAACAACAGACGTGCGTGTTCGATGCAAGAAATGATTTTGATGAATAAGAATCGTGCTACACGCAATAGATGAACACAATCACTAGAAGACTAATTTAGTTATTTTTTTTAATAGAATATCTAGGAAAAGAAAATAAATTGCCATTTTAATTTGATATTCAAATGTCAATTGAAATTTTTTTATTTGTTTCGAATTAAATTGATTATGAATAAAGAAATATGTATCGATGAAAATTTGTTATTTTTCTTTGTTTATTTTATTACATCGATTTAGTTACTGAAAAAAAAAACTTCTTCATATATTTCTTCATTGTTTAATAAGAATATTCAATATTACTCAACTTATTCTATAAATCTCTATTGCCATTAAAGATTTAAAATTAAAAGTTTGTTATCATTCCAGATTTTTTTTAAAATAAATGAAACATATTCTTATTTCATAATTTAAAATAATACATATCTATTGTTTATAATGAAAAATTTTGTATTTTTAAAATCATAAAATTTGAGTATTTAGTTTTGCTTTTAAGTTCAATCCAAGTTTTTTTTTAATAACAAAACATTACATTGGAGTATTGGTACGATTTTCTTCGATATGATTTTTTTTCCATCTATTCTTTTTTCATTGTGATAATAAACAATGTATGATAAACTCTCAATGCCCTCATAAAATTCATCTATTAAATAAAAAATACTTATTGGTGTAAACAAACTATACATATCATAATGATTTATTCTTGTGACAGAATTTCGAAATAGTAAAACTATTCCATGAAATAATGTTATTGCGCAATAATATAGAAATTACATTTATATAAACACGTGTTTTTTTCTTTATAGGTCAATACAATTTGTTAAAATATACGCATTAATATTGAGCAATGGCTTCATCATCGAATAAATCTATTAAACAACAAAATTATGATTATTTTCTTGTACTGGATTTTGAAGCCACATGTGATGAGGAAAGAAAAATTAATCCAATTGAAATTATTGAATTTCCTGTTCTAAAAATAAATGCTCGTACATTTGAATGTGAATCAATATTTCATACATGTTAGTAAAATTTATTTATTTTTTTTAAATTAGAATAAAAAAACTTTTCTATTTTCTAAAGATGTAACACCAACACAAAATCCTCAATTAACAAAATTTTGTATAAATTTAACGGGTATAACTCAAGATATGGTAACAAATCAACCAAAAATTGATGATGTTCTTCAAAATTTTCATTCATGGCTTGATAATGAAAAACTACTTGAACCAAATGTCACATTTATTTTTGTTACTTGTGGTGATTGGGATTTATTTACAATGTTGCCTCGTCAATGTGATTATTTTAAATTACATCGTGCCGGATATTTCAATCGATGGATTAATATTAAAAAGTCGTTTAAAAAAGCTACAGGTAAATTTGCAGGTGGTGGTATGATGGGCATGTTAAAATATCTTAATATTCAACATACAGGAAGACATCATAGTGGCATTGATGATTGTAAAAATATTGCAGAAATCTTAAAACAATTAGCCGAACGTGGATATATATTTGAAGAAAATAGGAAAAAATAATGATTATTTGATTTCTTTTTTTTTCTAATAAAAATATCGTTGTGGATTTCGTCCATTAAAATCAATAAATGGATTTAGTACTTTATGCTCGACGAGATAAATAGGATTGTTATTTGTTAAATCACTGGATTGTTTATTGATCAGATAATTACAACAATTTGATATAGAAGAATCTTAAATAATAATTTTTTTTTATTTAGAAATTTTATTGAATGAAATGCATGCTTAAATCAATAATTTTTATGTGGTACATTTTTTCATACTATCACCGGTTTCTTACAGTAGATTGGAGGTCAGAGAATGGCCGACGATTTCGGTATCGTACTACAGTCAGTTTATGGGAAATTTTTCTCCTATTTGAATCACCTGGAATCATTAATATTTGACAGAATAATCGTTTTAAACATTAAACTAGACTATAAATAATTTGAGATACTGATATTACAATGTAGAATAATTTGGGCTGAAACTCAGCAACCAATTTCATGGAGAGTCGTGGAATTTTATATTAATAAACACGAATCAACAAAATGAGATATTGAATAATTTGTAAATGAAGCTGAGAAAGTAATAACAAGTTCTGAAAAGTAACAATAACTTTAAGATATTTTATCAAATTCTAATGTTTTTCATCTCTTTTTTGATATACCTACATCATAATTCCACAAAAAAAAAGATCATGTGATATTCGTAACATAAACAATCTTCTAGAACTCAATTACTCTTTCGTCTCTTATAGGAAATGTAGAATCCATTTTTATAATATTGATAAATCTATCACGAACTTCTATTATCAAGTCATTCTTTAATTTAAAATTAATCAAATAATTACAAAAATTTTAACCTATTAAAAAAAATTGAATACAAGATTTTTTTCCATGATATCACATTTTTATACATAGTTGTGTGATTTACAATCTTTTGAAAAGAACTAAAAAAAATATATAGACCCCTAGAAAAAAGTAGTTTTTATCGATTTCTTAAATCTATTGTCATCATAAAAAAATATTTTGAAAACATACTTATACTTAGGACAATCCAAAAGTAGTGGCGGGTCGGGAGTACTTTATTTTCTTATAGAAAGCTTTAAAACAATTTATATTTTTATGAACAGATAGAGCGACTTTCACTCTATTTTTCCATGCTATTTGATCATTATTCAACTGGTATTATAATAATAAAATTTCGATAAGATCTGTTTCGTTTGCATATGTGCTAGTAGCAAGAATGCTCTTGAGAATTTTTTCAATAAAGTTTGATAGAAATAAGATAGAGAACTGCGATTTTCACCGTTGGAAAGAGGAGATGAAGATGCATCGAATCGTATATTACTGATTTTTCCAATATCCTTTTTGAAGTTTTTTTTTATTCAATTTTCTAACGGTTGAAAAAATGTTTTTTTATAAGAAAAGAAAAAGCAAAAAAGCTGATAGAAAATCATAGTAGACGTTCTTCTAGAATATTTATTACCTATAAATAATTAAATTTAAACATGTGAGTCTTTCATAGTTTGTATATCTTCAATTACTGGTTCGAATTTGAACCCGATTATTGAAAATTTACTGTAGACAGCTTACGGGATAGGTTTGTTCTTTGAAACGTCAATTGAAAACCTTACAAAAACCAAGTTAGAAAAGTCAATAATATGCAGTTCGCTGCGTCTTTTTATCTCCTATTTCTAACGGTGAAAACCGCAGGTCTCTATCTTGTTTTTATCAAATTTTATTCAAAAAATACTAATGAGCATTCATGTCCATGCTACCAACAAACATGTGAACGAAACAGATCTTATCGAAATTTTATTATTATAATACCAGTTGAATAATGATCAAATAGCGTGGAAAAATAGAGTGAAAGTCGCTCTATCTGTTCATAAAAAAGATTAATTGTCTTAAAGCTTTCTATAAGAAAATAAAGTACCTCCGCCACTACTTTGGGATTGCCCTAAGCATATTCTTAAAGTACTCGGAGTTTTTTATCATCCTATCTATTAATCTTTTAAC